AACCTTTATTTTCCGCACCCTTACCCATTTAGAGAACAGGAGAACGATCACTACGTAATAAAGCATAGCCCGCATGTCCATGAAAATTGCAGAATACATAGCGGCGCTGACGTCGGTGAGTAGTGACTGCGAAGTTAGCTGTTTATGAGTACAAGTAGTTGAAGTTAGTTGAATAATGTACAAATTTTCATTTCATTTTTTCGTAGAAAATTTTGTAATTTTGTAATTTTTGACAAAAAGAAACATTAAAAAATGGAGAAATATTTTATTGTGTGTTGATGTGCAAGTGGTTGAGCACCTGATCGGAAAAATAGACTGAAAATGACTTTTATTGACTGCACTTATTGATCGAAGCGCCTCACTGATGGTGTCCATATTTCTGGGACACTATTTTCTACGGCGATCGTTCTCCTGTTCTTTAGCCTTAATGCGGGGGACTGAGGTGACTGGCGTCCCAATGTCATTGTTAAACCCGGAGTACCTTCAGCTTTTTTAATTATTGTTTATACTCGTAGTAAAAAAAAAGCTAAAGGTACTCCGGGTTTAACAATGACATTGGGACGTCAGTCACCTCAATCCCTCGTGACCATGGGTGCTGGAAAGCACCCGAAACGTTGGGAATTAAAAATAAAAATAATTAAAAGTAAAATTAAACGCGATATAATCCGTAAAAGTAGTTTTAATCAATGTGTAGTGTTCGCGTAAATATAAGAAATCATTATGATAATTATATGATAAAAATAAGCGGCGAAGATTTACTATTTGGACTTATTTTAGAGAAACTGATGACGAAAGTAAAGTGAAATGTACTAATGTAATGTATTGTTTCTTGTTTAATGTTGTTTGATTCCAAAAACATTTTATCAAATTTCTGTTTGCTATAATCGGAAATAAATCTACAGTTGCTCAAAAACATAAATGTATAAATTTATGCATTTGAGGCATCTAGAATGACTAGAGTAATTAAGAGTATATTTAACCCATAAATAAAATATACTTTCAACAGTAAAAGACATCGCATTAGATTCGTACATTTCGATACATTGGACACTATGAAAATGTTCGGTCCGAATGTTCGGTGATTTAGCCACGGCCGAATCGAATATTCGGTAAAGCTGCCGTATATGCCGAATACCGAACATAAAACGAATATTCGGCCCATCTCTAGAAGAAAACACTAACCTATTAAACTGACTGAAAAACAAAATCCAAAGATTGTATCTTGTGTAACTATATCATACACAAAACGTACATCAAATATTATTTACCAAAGAGATTGTGATAAAGAAAATATTGAAACAAGAGAGACGATAGCAAATTAAAATATTTTTTATACATAGAACAGTCCAGAAATATTTATACAACCGCGAGAAAAAAAAAAAAAAAAACAAAAGCTTCCAACGTAAAGTTGCAATTAAAGAAAAAAATTAGAAAATACTTTAAAGTTTCCAAAGAAAAATACGAAAGGAGTTTAAACTAAAAAGCTTAAAGAATAATTTGAAACGAAGAGGCAGTAAGTCAAGCAACAGTGATATGGATATGAGTAATGAGTATTCAGTGATTCAGATATGAGCGGGATTGTTTTCGATCAAGATGAGCCAGGTTCTCCTTTAGATGCTTTTGATTCTAATTTATTTATTGGCAATGAGAACAAAGTAGCACTTGAAAAGGTGGAGACTATCACGAAAACAAAGCGTAACTTATGTTTGAATGAACTACTTGTTCCTGTAGCAATGGATCACTTTTCAGAACCAGGGCCCTCGACTAGTTTAACGTACGAAGAAGTTTCTGTAGAGTACAAAGTAGGCGAGTATTGGTTTTGGCTAGACACTTTTTTTTTAAAAAAAGTGGATTATTACGTGTGACTCATTTTGGATAAGCCAAAAAATGGCAAGTTGAAAATATCTTTCTTAAGAAAAGTCGGCAAAATTGACAACTCAAATTTTATAAAAGTAAAATCATATGATATAGAATAGACTATAAGAATACTGTCAAGACTGTTGAACTTCTGGCTATTATTGAAGCTGAAATTGATTTCGTACTGGCTGATGACGATACATTTATTTTGATAATTAATAAACTTATAGAAGTAACAACTTTTCACACGTTCTTAATGACTACGTTTTTGTTCTTTATGTGATAATAGTTTTTGTTATTGTTGTGTAGTAGTAAGTACTAATTTAAGTCAATTTATTTTTGAAATTCCTGTGACAATCAAATATTTTTTTAAAAGTTCATTTATTAAAACTTGGTTAAAGTAAAAAGAATATAAAGTGTAAACAAATAAATTGAAATACTTACACAATCAAAATGGATAGAACAGCTGATACTTTTTCTAAGTTTTAGAGTAGTACTGTGTTCTGTAAAAGTATTTTATTTGCACCTAATATTTATAGGTTTTTTTCTCGTAGGTTTGTCATTTGTTTCTCTGTGTCCGGCAAGTGTTGTAATGTCTTTTTTTCTACGATCTTTGTCAGAAACCTTTCCGGGCGCAAAGCACTAAATACTCATAACTGCAATGTGTAACTAATGTACCCGACTAATTTTTAATACAAAAGTTTTATAATATGAAAAGAGATTATTATTTAGTTACATTATGTGACAATCCAAAACCACCGTTTTAGTTTGTAAGAAAATGTAGTTGGTTGGTATTATAACATTGCCCACCCAAGTAAAATAAAAAATAAAAAGTCTTTGACATTTTGATCAAAAAGGATGGCAACTTTGCATAATTTACCATAACATACTTTAGTTCCAAATCCTTAAGTGATAGTTTTAAGAAAAAGTTGTAGAAAAAAATAAGGCTGAGCAATGCTGCCAACCGTCCAGTTGGCAATTTAAGCCCATTTTTCTAGAGCTCTGTCAAAGCCAGGCTCTCAACATTTTGTGATTTGAAGCCCATAATGGTGATTTTTATATTGGTCAACTTTTGTATGCGCTCTGTTAAAAAAATTTTTCAAAATATCAGAATTAGGTAAGATTGTGAGCAATGTTAGCCGGTCTTACGGTGTCCATAGTTTAGGTTGCTATTAGGAAATAAAAGTACCCTCACACGTCATAATAATTATCATTTAATGATAGTACTCTATATACATAATACATAAATTACATTCGTAATATATCACAATCAAGTGTTAATTATGCTAAAATACGTCATTGTACACACAGTGCCTATTGCTACAAATTTTATAATTAATCAAATATCACTCCATCACGCACGCCAGAAGAAAACAACTCGTTATTTACTATAAATAAGTAGTTTGATGAGATTGAAATACGGCGTTTAAACCTCTTATTAGAAGTACTATTATTCAAGAATTTTAATATATACTATCTTAATAATTTGTAAATTGTTTAGATAGCGAGTGTGCCAGCGGGTATCTATAAAACCCAAAGGTTCTTCCCAGATTTAATGCCATTCTGTAGCAGTGTAATCATCGACATTTCAATATTTGTACAAGTTTTATTTCTTAATGCAAAAACAATGTCCCTTAAAAATATTTACATGTTACAGAAAAGTTCATAACAAGTCACACATTTGTTGTTATTGATAACTAATAATATGGTACAACAAAGTTATATTCCCAGAATATATTCAATAAAATTCTAATGGGACTTTCGAATTCCAAGTTATCAAATAAAAAGAGAAGTAAAAAATTGTTAAGATGGAACACTGTACTGAATACTGCCAACAAAACTATATAAAAAAAATGTTACAGGTTCAGCCATGGTAGGTAATATTATTCATAAATAATACAAATAAATAAAATTGTAATGTCTATTTGTAATGTCAAAATAACAGCTGTTTACTAAATGCATATGAAAGTATAAACAGTACTTATAACAAAAAAAAGTTCTGAAAAGTTTCTGTCTGTTTAATCTCCGAAATAGCTGGACTGATTTTGACGAGACTTTCACTAGCAAATAGTTGATGTTAGAGGGAGTAACTTAGGCTATTTTTATTTTAGAAAAGAATTAAAAATTTTATATGTGGTAGAGCCATGCTGCAGTTATATTAGAAGTATAGTTGTAGCACGAATGGGTCGGCTCGACCGGGGAAGGACCACGCTCTCACAGAACCAGCGTAAATTAGTAGATTAACACTGCTGTGTTTCGTACGGTGAGTGTAAAATTGTAGTCCTCACGGGTGACAACGCATCTGTATTTTGATTCGTAATCGAGGATAGATGTAGATGTCTATGGACCACAGCAAACAGTTACCATCAGGTGTACTGTATGCTCGTTTATAACCCTATCCTATAAAAAAATACGGTTCTGCGCAAAAAAATTGAAACCCATGAAAACCAATAATGTCCTCCAGACCGAATTTCGGCCACGGCGGCCTGCCTCAACGGAGGCTAGCCATCGGCGCAGGACAGGATTATAGTGCCCAAGTGTATGCGCAAGCACAGGTGCACTCTCTATTCCCTCACTCTCATAATCCGATGGGACGGTAAACCGACACGACCGGAGAGAGATCAGGCGCAGGACCAACGGCTTTACGTGCTTTCCGAGGCACGGGGGTGAGACACCGCCAACTTCCTAACTCCGGGCAACTACTGAGAATTTTTGATTGAAATACTCAATAATTAATTTTTGGGCCCGACGCGGGATTCGAACCCAGGGCCTCATCATCAGTAGCCGCACTACTACAACCAGTAGACCAACGAGGCAGTCAAACATTAACTGATAACACTTAAAATTTACACATTATTGCTGAACAACCATTCAAATGGTAATAATATTACCTGTATTGGTAAGGCAAATGCCCAAGACGGGTTTGCATAACTGTTGAAATTTAATTTCAGCTGTTTAAAAGTTTTAAATGTTTACACAGATTGGTAATACAAAAATACAGACGCAGTTATAATCAATTTCTTAAATCATAAGTTGTGCGGCAAAAATGTCCGTCGTGTTAAGATTGTTGTTAGTACAACAGAAAAATGACGTATTCAATAAATATAATACATTAAACTATATAAAGTTGCAGCGATTCAGTCTTATCTGCCGAGCCTGCCTATTTGCCAGGCTGATGCTGGAAGCCTCTGTAGACGATTGATAGTGGTCCGACCCCATTGCAACCAAAGGAAACCGGCTATCAAACATATAATTGTCTCTATGTAGAAGCCATCTATTCGTACGTCACACGTGCCGCCACTGTTCTTGCATAGCTAGAAATAAAGAAATCAATTAAAACAATATTTTTAACATATTTTATGTGGTACAGTCCTGCTGCAGTCATATTTTGGTCGTAGCACGAATGAGTCGGCTCGACCGGGGACAGACCACGCTCTTACAGAATACCAGCGTGAAATAGTAGCTTAATGCATCCTCTATTTTGTGGATCAGTGTAGAGAATCGGATACGCTTTTTACTGAAAACGAAAAATTTAATCAGGTCCTCAGGGTTCACAACGAATCTGTGTTTAGAGTCTTAATCGAGGATAGATGTAGATGTCTATGGGCCACAGCATCTACTTAACATCAGGTGGACTCTGCGCTGGTTTATCACCCCTTATTCTATAAAAAAAGTATTCCTTTTGGCTGTACCAAACATTAATATTACATTTAAATAAAAGGGTATAAAACGAATGCGTACGGAGGCTTTCGCTCACAAATAAAAAATCTTTATTTGTGAGCGAAAGCCTATGACCTGTGAGTCTAATATTATAGGGTACATTGCGAAACGTTTCCAGTATATTGCCGAATACAAATGACACGAGAAACGAACATCACGAAAAGTCATTAATTGACGCCATATTGTACCGGCGTGCCGCCGCCATATTGTGTCGGATATCCGGTCATATTAAAACAATTTTTGTGTGTAGTGTGTACGCTGAATGAAGCATGCCAAAATTTGTTTTTATTCCTTCAAATATAAAAATTTATAGAATAATTGCTGGTATCTCCATCAGGAAGATATAATGACTTTTGGACCACAAAACTTGCCTCCAGCTGTGTGTTAGTGGCTTAAATCTTGTGTTTACGAATAATCTGTACTTGAAGCAACAGGAATTTTGTTCCATGTTTTCAATATAGGGTAAGAGAATAGGGGCAAGTTAAACATTACTTTGGTATGTGGAGGCGGCATGAACGAGTTCACTAGCACCCATTTCCTCGCAAGTAGATCACACAGTAAGATCAGAAAAATCTTAATATATATAAATTACGTGTCACGTTGTTTGTCCGCGATGGACTCCTAAACTACTTAACCGATTTTAATCAAATTTGCACACCGTGTGCAGTTTGGTCCAACTTGAGAGATAGGATAGTTTTTTTTTGCTAATGAGTGACCCACAATTTTTTTTGCGAATTTAAGGATTTTTAATAGGACATGACAAAGGGTCGTCGAAAAGGGCAGAACGACGTCTGTCTGGCAAGCTAGTATAATGTATATCAAAGATATTTTAAATTCGGATTAGTATGATTAGACTCACACTAATCCGAATTTAAAATACCTAAACCATCAACCGGGAGCACCACCATGGGTACTCTGCAATGGACAATTCCGCCAAGCACGTCGATTACGACAAATTTTCCCTACAATTGCAAAAACTCATGTCCAGCAGTGGACAGGCTGATGAAAAACATTTTTTATAATAATTAAATTCATATTTAGCTTAGGTAAAGTATAACTAATTAGGTAAATACACGGCAAACACAAGGCATTTAACAGAGAAGAATTTGTCACATTGCTCCAGTGGACATAGTTTTTATTTGAGTTAACGGACTTCACGTTACTTCGAAATATTGGGCTAAGCAAAAATATATGTAACCAGTCCTGGCTTAAGCTTAGTGCTTGTGTTAGGAGTGGTTCACGACTGTAGTCGAATGGCAGATTCGAACCCACGACCTTTTGCATTAGCAATTCGCGGATAACACCCTACCATTATGCTACTATCGCTTCAATATACTTAGTCGTTTTTATTAAATCGGCACAAGCACGAAATATTTTTAACATTTGTTAGAGTATATTTGTACATATACACTGAAACTTTTAAACTAGAGAGCCATGGTAGCTCAGATGGTTAATGCTCGCTGTAAATATAACAGAACGCGAGTAACCCGGGTTCGATCCCTGCCGGCACCAATGAAATTGTTAAATGCAATTATGTGCTGATTTACCATGTACTCGGCGGTGAAGGAAAGCATCGTGAGGAAACCTGCATGTCTGAGAAATAAGAAAAAAAATTCAAAGATAAGTGAAGTTCGGCAACACGCGTTGGGGCAGCGCGGCGGACATTTCCTTGCCCTAAAACCCCCTCAGTAATGAGGGGAGGCCTGAGCCCAGCAGCGGGACGTATATAGGCTGTAACTTTACTTTACTAACTTTTACTGAAACTTATCACGATAAAATTACACCAGTTTCGATTTTTATCCGTTTATAGTAAAACACAAGTCTCCAATTTCGATTCAAATGAATCCTTACCTAATATTATATATTTGAAATAATATTACGTCCTCTGGGACTTAGTACACGGAATATAGTAGAGTTTATTCACCAATAACTAATGGGTAAACTACAACTAATTCTAAATAGGGAATAGTATTGTTGTTTTGTGAACTAAGAAATTTTGTACAAATATAAAATACGTAAAAATTTAAAATTACTGATGATTACTTACTTCTGTTTCTAATGCTGTTGCACATGTGTTGTCACTTAGGTTTGTCAAAGAACACTTCTTGTAAGTCAAATGGTCAATGGCCCACAATGCAAGAGTATTAGGCCAATTAGTACCCAAGTTGGATACTGTATTTAGAAGTGTCATATACGTTCCACCAACAGAAGGGTCTGACACTTTAGCAAAGAAGGCCATTACTGCGACAAACATACAGTAAAGACATGTCTGTAATGAAATAAAAAATTATCATTATTAGATAAACTATTTCCTTTAAAGTAAGATACTGAAATTAAAATAATATTTTAAGTTATAACAATTTTCAAATACCATTATAATAATATAAAACTGCACAAATACCATTAGTGCAATTTTTGAATTTATTTTATAATGCAAGAAAATCCAAAATACCTTCGCGACCAAGAATATTATTAGAAGAATATTAAAAGAATAATATTATTATTAACACGAAGGCAGTTGAGACAACTGATAATGCCTGTATCCTTTTCGTGCCCACTAGGTTACTGCTATTTCAGTTTATAAAATGATTATCTAATCTATTTTTGAATTGGTTCACATTTTGGACCGAGACTACGTTCTCTGGCGGCTTACTTTTACTCTGTGACTACGCGGTTACATATTAAGTGCTGTGAGGGTTGTGTTTGAAAAACTGGTACACAGCTTAAGATGGTGGCCTTTGAGGTGAGCGTTTTCATTACGAATAAACAATTTGTCAAGCTCCTCAACGTCGTAATGTCCTTTTTACTATATAAAACTGAAATGACAAGTAAATATACAGTTCATACTCGTTGGTCTAATGGTTGTAGTAGTGCGACGGCTGATCATGAGGTCGTGGTTTCGAATTCCAGGTCGGGCCAAAAAAATAATTATTGAGTTTTTCCGTCAAGAATATCTCAGTAGTAGCTCGGAGTTAGGAAGTTGGCGGTGTCTCACCCCCGTGCCTCGGAAAGCACGTAAAGCCGTTGGTCCTGCGCCTGATCTCATCTCGCCTGGTCGTGTCGGTTTACAATCCCATCGGATTATGAGAGTGAGGGAATAGAGAGTGCACCTGTGCTTGCGCATACACTTGGGCACTATAATCCTGTCCTGCGCCGATGGCTAGCCTCCGTTGAGGCAGGCCGCCGTGGCCGAAATTCGGTCTGGAGGACATCATCATCATCATACAGTCCACTGGACGATAAGTGATTATCACCTCTGTGGAGTAAGATGGAATATCTAACAACCTCTATACTCCTTAGACTAACACAGCAGTGCAAACACTGCTATTTGATGGCAAAAAATGGTACGTTGGAATCTACCCGAACTGAATTTAAGCCAAAAATATTGTCCTACCACCTAGTGAATGTAATTGTGTAACACATAATAATGTGTTTGTATGAAAACTTATTTATGCTATTTAGCCTAATTTTACATTGTTATTCATCTCATTAAGTACTTTTATATTTTTTATGGTAATTAGCCATATTATTCACCACGCATTAGGTGGACTGGCAGAGAATGCGGACGGTCATTAAATCCACCCCATGTGAATTTTAACGTTAATAGAATAAAAGTTTTGAAATAAATAAGAGTTAAGTAGTTTGTTATATATAATAAGTTACGGGCAAAGAGTGTTAGTACATAAAATAGGTACATAAACAAGGAGATTATATCTAGACCTAAAGATCAATATTTTTTGTGTCCAAAATGTTGACTTTGGGTAGTATTCAAACCAAGAGCTTGCAAGAAAGTAACTCAAGTACATTATCCAACAAGACGGGTTATTCCGTTTATCACCCTAGCCCCTGTCTCCTTAAAATTCTCATGCAGCTAATGCCAAACTTCTTCATAGAAAAGTAGTCGCTAAATATAAGTTTTAATTGTTGAAAGTGCTGTGGGTGTGCGCGGTCGAATTCGACCGCTTAGGGGTTGAAGGGCTAGGGTGGAAACGCGTGTCAAACAAACTAAACTGAATTCCATCTATCCACCCCGTCTGGGGTGGTTTACGGTATCCACCCTAGGGTGGATTCTTTATGGTGGATAAATGTAATAACTCAATGAGGCCACATGGTCATTACATTGAATATAAATTGTATTCACTACAAAATTATCACAAATTTATATTACTTTAATTTATAAATTATAATACAGTATATAAATAAGTTATAATAAAACTTACCTGGTGGAAAACATAAAGACACATCAGAATAAAGAGATAAAAATATGAAGGTCCAGCATTTCCTAATAAACTGGGTGTCACAGCAACAAGTACAGCTGCTAATGGACCAACAAGTAGACGCAGTGGGAAAGCACGTAGCCACAGCGATAACGGTGTGGGGCCAGTAGTGTACTTTGAGAGGATCTGGAAATATTTGATTGTGTTTAAAATAATAAAGCACATACTTGGTTATTCCTAAATAGATGAATCTGTAATGATTGACTGAATGTTTGTAATTCCCTACTAGGTCATGGTTAATTAGTACAATATCTTATCATCATCATCGTCATTACAGCCCTTTACAAGTCCACTGCTGAACATAGGCCACCCCCAAGGTATGCCACAAAGCACGGTCCTGAGCCACCTGCATCCATCGACTTCCTGCATGTCTTACCAGGTCGTCACTCCATCTAGTGGGGGGTCGCCCTACACTTCGTCTACCGGTACGAGGCTGCCACTCGAGAACCTTTTTTCCCCAACGGTTGTCGGATCTGCGAGCTATATGGCCGGCCCATTGCCACTTCAGCTTACTAATTCGTTAGGCTGTCGGTCACTCTGGTTCTACTGCAATATCTTATGTGCAATTTTAAATAAAATATAATGTTAAAGATCAATAAACTTTTAACCACCGACATGCAGTTAAACCGATCACTAGAGTTTTTAACAGTGTTATGCACTGTTCTGTTTCTTTTCTGGATTTATGCAATTCATCTTTCATCAGTAGCTTAGAATTGAGTTTGTAGACAACTATTTAAAACGGCTAAAACTATTCAAGCCTCCCAAAAATTTTTAAATATACCAAATCACAGTCCTGGGCCAAACGGCCAAATGATCCTTCATGAGGGTTTCTGCATTTCTGCAGTCTAAGCCACGAATTTAAGAGGGTGGTCGGAGATTTATGACTTATTCCGCAACAGGATTTGCAAACCTTATATTAGTTTCCAAAAGCTAGTTGCTTATAGTCTACTATAATGTTATCTTCTAGACATTAAAAACAATTCTGTGATTATAATGTTTTCCTAGCTTTTAATTAGAGCATAAGGAGTGTTGACTTTATTAGATGTGACCCCTCCAACTTAATATTAGTGTTCAATGTGCTACCCATTATTCTATGATCGCTACTAGCTTTCACTCTAGATGTCACTGAGCAGTAGTTTCGCCTGGTCATAGTAATAAAGTCAATATCATTTTTGATTAATCATAGGAGCCAGGTCAAGTCCACAGGCAAAAACTACAGAGATCCGGTACTTGCATATGGGGGTTGGAGGGGGATGGGGGAAAGGTGGGTGCAGGAGAAGCCCCCAACCCTTTCCCATTGCGGAAATGTATAGTTTATTAGTAATGTTTTTTTTGTAAAATTATAACCTCACTTTTTACACAGGAATATTGACCCAAAGTTACTTCTGCAACAAATTCGACGCTGCGGGAAGTGCAGCCCTTTCGTCCTTGCGTAGCAAATCGCATGGTACCTGTAATTTGCTACAGCTGGCGGGCGGGGTCTGCTCTCCCTCCGCGTCTACGGCTTTACAAAAACACTCTAGGTGTAGGCCAGACAAGACTACGAGGGGCGTGCTGATTCAGTTTTAGAACAGATTCAACCAATCTTATCTATAAAGTCAAGTTGCCCTAAACTCTGGTATGATAGCAGTAAATGAAACAATGTAATGTGAACTGTTACAATTTTGTTTTCTGAAAAATCTCTTGACTGCTCTCCACTGTGATTAAATTTGTTGTATATGAGTCCTGTCTTCAGATGGTGTGATGAACGTTCCGGGTCCGAATGATTAACTTTTTTATAGGTATCCGCGTTATAAAAAATAAATTGACATATTTGTGTTTCGTATGCAATTTTTAGTGAAATTTATTTTCATCGTAATTAATTCAAAAGGAATTTCCAAAATCCAAAAACAGTGTAAAAGGTTCAAGCTTATCCCTGACAACTCTGCCTGTGCTTTTTGGTGCAGCCAGTCCCAAACCCGGATAAATGAGGAGGGGTTCCACTGGAGAGTGCGTGTATCTGGTGAACTAACACACCCACATGCGCTAGGGCCTGCGCAGTCGAGCGCCGTACGTGAAGATCGTTGAGCTGATCGTCACTGGAATATATATAGTATCGAGAGGCAACACTCTTGGTGCTTGGTCTTTGATCCGGATTTCAAGCTAAATGGTATCTGCTAGCCATAGATAGGGAAATTGCCAAGCGTCCGGTTAGAGGGTTACAGGCGAGGGATTTTTTTATAGAATAGGTTGACAAACGAACACACAGTCCACCTGATGGTAAGTGGTTGCTGAGGCCCATAGACATCTACATACATCCTCGATTACGAATCAAAATGTAGGTGGGATGTGGGGGCTGCCTAGTTTCCCTGAAAAAGGCCATGCTGACGGACCAAGTGACAGTCTATTCGGGCAGTTGGAATGGGCCTTTTCAGCCCTATCTGCCAGATATGCATTGAGCTCCCGATGTCGCGCTGTGAGCCAACTTCGCGTCCCTATATTCTCCCGGTAATCCTAACGCCTGAAATTCTTTTTTTTTTTCTAAAGCAAGGCATTCCCAAAAATGCGGGGTGTGGGAAGCCGGAGAGACGAATTATTATACACATAAAAAATATGGACAATTTAAGGCCTATCAGGAAGGAGGGAAAGTTGTCAGAGGTGCTTAACATAGACACCAATGAACGAGGAGGAACCGCCATTAAAACGACGGTTCCAAGGACTATGTCATGCAGCGTAGTTGGACCCACTAAGGGGGCAATTTCCGCGCTGGATGTTTCCAAAACCAGTTCCAAGCCTGAGACGCTGGAAGCGAGAAAGGAGCAAGGGACCGCGAGTGGCATAACTCCTGCGAAGCCCCAGAGAACGGATAACCTTTTCTCTGCTGTCTGTCAAGTGGTGAGCCGTAAGGTGAAGGGCAGAGCACCCAAAAAGGTGACTTACCGACATGACGGACTATTAGGTGGGTCAATGCCGACAGGCAGTGGTGCAAAGGCCAAGGAAAATAATAAGCAGCGAAAAAAGGCCGTAGAGAAAGGGCCGCGCTGGCTGCTTCTAAAAGCAGCACCAAGGAGGCTGGGCAAGCTACTTTCACTGCGATGCTTGCGGCTGGAACCAACAGTGGCGCTGAAACTGGGAAGGTCAAAAATCCAGCTCAAGTGGAAGGCGTCGCCGCAGGGACATGTTCTAAGATATCTGCCAGGAAGCAGAGAATGGCGAAGAGTCCTGGTAAGAAGGTAAAATTAGTCAAAAGGATGCTGGAAGAGTCCACTTCACCGAGAGGCGAGTACAAAAAAGTGCGAATCGCACAGCAACCAAAGGCTGCAAGCAAGAATAAGCTACGCTTCAGCTGCTAAAGCAGATTTTGGTGTGGTCTTAATGTGTGCGCGTTCAGGTCACATAACGAAGGTAGCTGATGACATCCTCGTAGAAATATACAGTAAGATGATCAGCGAGGTCTGGAGTAGCCAGGACCCTGATGCCTCAGATCCAGTTTTTAGAGGCAAACCTCTTAGATTTACACGGAGGACGTCCTGAAGCTGTGGTGCGACAATCATAAGGCTCTGGATTGGTTGAAGGGGAATATTGGTACACTCAACCTCAAATCCAACACCTCGCTGATCATAAAGAAACAGTCAGAGATACCACAGAGATCAAGTCCTTATCCCTGATGCCCAGGGTGCCTGGAAAGACTCACGCGACATCGGTCGAGTGCTGGCGTACCAGAACCTCTGGGTAAATATCAGGAACTGGCTGCTACTCAAAGCTCTTAATCAAATGGACCGGTGGTTCCTCGTTGTTTCAGTGCCAGAGGATCATATCCCCGACCCTAATGAAAGCCGGACGCCCCCTCACACGTGTATATGGGGCGTACTAAATTCTTTGATACTCCACCAAACAAAGAGGCAGATAAGAACCTGGAAGTCATCGATACCGGGGCCATGGTTACCGGTGCAGCTGAATCATTGGATGCCAAGTCTAGTGAAAAAACTGCCTGCACAATCGAGCCGAAGTCCCCAGTGGAGATAGGGCTCAGCAACAGCTCACTGAGTGACGAAGAGGACTGCATTTTACTGTCCAATTCTGATTCAGTGGCAGAGGATGAGACCCAAGATCTGCTGGCAGGCTTATTTTTGGGCAGGGACGGGGAGGACGCGATCATTGATGGCGTGCTCTTCGTTCAGAACTAGCCTAGAACAGGCCAACCTTAACCACAGAGAAACTGCGTCGGCTCAATTACGCAAATGGTTTGAGGCTCGAAGGACGACCATAGCCTTAATGAAGGAGCAGTGGGTTGGGGCTGGTAAAACCAAAGGCCTAAACAACTTAAAATGTATGTTATTCTACAACTCTGAGCATGACAAGCCTAGAGCAACCTAATACTAAAGATATCTGTCCACAACTATTAAGATTTCTGTTCCAAAGATGTGTATGCCGTAGCAATATAAAATACACAGGAGAGAAGATTAGTCCTCGCCTCGGTCTACATGCCGGAGGAAAACACTCCTCCCCGTCATGACCTAGTCAGGATGGTCAATTTCTGCGAGAGGACCGGACTTGAGGTTGTGGACAGGACGGACTCCAATGCGCATCATGCCCTCTGTGGAATGGAAAAATCCCTTGGGTTCTGCTGCCCTACTTCAATTTTCCATTAATTATTCACTTAAAAATATGGTTATCGAAATGGTATTAAGTGTTTAATTTCATACAGACATTTATGAGATATCGAAACTTTGAAATTAGTTTATCTAACTTATATTGTCTAAAATGGATTATGATGAAATCGTGATGAGAACTTATAGGATGCTTAAATAGTTAAGGTTGCGTTTTTGCTAGTAAACAATCTTCATCAATATCGATAGTACCTTTAGAAAACACATCACAAATTTAGAAAACAATTTCAAATGTAAAAGATGTATGGAAAAAAAACTGTTTTAATGCTCTACTGAAAAGTGGCAGTGTGATCCTTAGGCTAATTGAAATAATGGATATGGATACAGAACATTAAAATATTATCATATTTCAATCATAATTAAAAAATTGCAGAGTTATTCTTACTAATTCCCACCAGATACAACAATTTACACTAATGCACTAATGTTGGGCACGGAAAAAGACAAATACTAACAATTAATAGATTAGAAATGGGTAAAATAATATTTACTGACCACTGGCATTATTATTTGAACTGGGACTAAAGGAACTGCCAGAAGTGCTAAGTCTTCTCTTGGCACTCCAGCCTCAACTAACTTTAGCCCAGACACAGCATCGCTTGCACAGAAACCCAACTGCAAAAAAAAAACATTTAAATGAAGAAAAACAGTAGTTCACTGAATTTATTTAATTTTAATTGTAAGAAAAAGTCTAGGATTAACTTATAAAATTATATGATATTTTTTAGTAATTCAGAACCTGACCTTTGCTGTGAATAGTACTAAAGCCAATGTCTTTACTGCTGGCAACTTAACAATTGTAAATAACTGTTTATAAGCATTTACAATGTCTTTAATTCCTGTCACTTGACTTCCTTTTATGTTAGCACTGTCATTTGCCTCATGCTTGAAAACAGCTACAATGGTAGTAGTTACAATGAACACCCAGCCCCAAAATAATAGAAAACTAGACAAAGTAACCAATCCAGTGTCTTCAGGTACTGTCCTTATATATTTGTTGCAAAAGTATGGGGATTCAAGAGCTAGAAACAAAACATAGCCAAGGAAAAATCCAGCAGTTTGGCCTACAGTATTGCAAGTCGATGCATGACCAACATTGCACCTGAAAATAATATTATTCAATAATTAAATTTAGCATTTAATAAAAATTCAGACATATTTTTGTAATAAGTATTTTGACACATAAAATAAGTTTAAAATAATTTAAATCATAGTGTAACTAATAAAAAGAAACAATTATTCAAAATTACCTTTTTAACATTGTAAGTGCCCACCCATCTACAGCAATATCTTGCGTAGCAGCCAAAAAGTTAAGAAAAAGAAATGAAATGGTCAATATCATCATAGCAGGGGCCTGTTCTTCAGAGCCCAACCATTCCGTGATACTACTAGACATAATAATCATCACAATACCAATGAGATACTGAACAGGCACTAGCCAAGTCTTCCGTCTTCCAAATTCAGGCCAAAAGAGAGCATCAACTATAGGAGCCCAAAGCAATTTTACACTAAATGGCCAGTTAACAAAGCTAAACTCTGCCTGAAAGAAAATTATATTTATTTCAAAGGTAATCTAATAAAAAGGATAAAATCATGCAAATCTATGTATAAAAATGCTTTCTGTTGAGACTGCAGAATACAATATTATTTACTTGTTGTGTATATGTAATGCCTCTGTTTTGAAGTAACATGGGTATTGCTGCAGCCAAACCTAAAGGAATGCCTTGAAGTGTATATAGAAACAACAAAACGGCAATATTTATTTCATCCCCTTTAATATCACTGCGTCCAGTATTAGTTTCACCATTTTCTAGTAATACTTCCTTTTCCCCAGAACGTTTACGTTTCGTTAAAGACATCATTAAATCATATAGCGCCTGTAAATAATAAGAAAAAACTTTGAATAATACACCAATCCAAAAAACACACGTCATTAAAATAGTTAATGTTTTCTTTTAGAATACCTTAATTTTTATTTTTGATGAAGACCAGTTTTAATAAAAAATTTATTATAATAATTTAGAAAACAGACAGAAAAAGTCAACTTTTATTACACATCACTTTTATGTCACAAATTAAAATTTCTATTACTTTTTTGATACAAGCGAACTAGAGGAAAAGCACGTCAACAATTTCCAGGCCCGTGACAGCTTAGTTCCATTCTACGCAACTTGGCGCTACCGTCGCAATTTGTTATCTGTCTACGGACGCCATTTTGAGACGCCATATTGTGTTAATGTCAAAATCAAATCATATTGTCAAAAATCAAAATTATCGATAATGATTGCCGCCATTATTTATCCAAATTTTCCTCAATTATTACAATATTCTGATTTTGTGCTGCTCGTGTGAACATTGCATATACCATCATAATGATATACGAAAAGTGTTGCAATACAACACGTGAAACGCACCGGCTTTTCAGATTCCCTAGGAACGATAATTTAAGAAACTTGTGGAATCTTTCATAGTGCCGACAAATCCCCAGCTCATTGTACTTTCCAAAGAACAGTTACTTAACAAACGTGTCTGTGAAAAACATTTTGATATATTTCAGTTCGACAATGAAGGCAGAAGACTTCGATACTCTTACCCGTTCTTGCTTACTGACAATGAAATAGCTCATGGTGTGCCTCTGACTGCAACAGGTGAGTAATTTTATTACTTTCAACCATGGTACTTAAAGGAGAAGGACACGTCTCTATACATTCTTGGGCCCAAGTATTAACAAGATAAAAGTACGACCATTTGTAAGCATATACTATATAGACAATTCATAGCTGAAAATCTCGCAAGATTTGTCAATGTAGGAACTGAGTTATTGTAGAATAAGTAAAAGTGAGATTATCTATTGGCTGCACTGTAACAGGTGATTTTTCACTATAATTACAGTTACAGGCTATTTTTCACTATAATTACTTAAATATATAAATGCAGGGTCAGTAAAAATCACCCAAAAAGCTGTGGTTAATAATGAAACGATATGGTGAAACGATTAATGAAAGTTAAAACAACAACAACAAAGTAAAGTGAATATTAGGAATTCTGATGTTATAGATGTGCCAACTTGGAAAAATTACGAATTGATTTAACTCGAGTTGAAATTCACACAACTCGAGTTAGCAGTACGAATCAGAGTAAATGATTTGTTACAAATTACTTTTTTATAAATATGTTTTTCTATCTAGCTCTTTGGTGGGTTGAGATAATTATAATTACCTTTTTATACCTATTAAAACTTATTATATAAGATTGATATAAAAAGTATATTTAGTATATTTTTGGTTTAATCTTAGTTATAGTAAGTACTTGTATTTAACAACAAAACTAGCTATATAGCAGTCTTCATGAAATAATATTAGCTTAGCTTTAAGATGTAGTTACATAAGCTATTAATAGTTTAATTACAAAAGGTTGAAGACAAAATATTCTTAAATAAGTTCAATATATTTATTGAGTTAAGTGTTACATTTGGCATTAATTTAAAGTATTACATTAGGATTACGCTATATTGATCATAATTAATCAAAACTATAAATGGAATTAGATTACACAACTAGCTATAATAAAATTCTAAATAACAAATTGTTTATACCAGTAATATACCTGCAGCATGGCTCTACCACATACAATTGCCATATAACTTAGTTATATGATAATATAGATCACTTTTAATTACGATTATACTAAACTGTTGTTAAGAGTAGCCATTCAGCATTAATACATACAATACAGAAGTATAACATTATATATTTATTCTTTAATTTTGGGTTTATGTATAAGAACATAAAATTCACAAATATTATTTGTTTTCAGGAATAGAAATCTAATGCTGATTTGGTGAGACAAATGTTGCCAGAAGATAACAATATGTACACATTGGCATAAAGGTATGATAAATTCAGTTTATTCTTAGACATAATTAGGTAAGATAACATATCCATTATATCTATATTCAGCATATCTATCCTCAAATCACGATAAGAGTTCTTTGTTCTTCATCTAATCTAAAGATTACAGTTCCACTACACTTCAATGGTTTTATCAACAACTCTTTTAGTACTAAGGTTACATTTATTTGGAACTCCGTGCCTGAAGACATTGAGAAAGCTCTTATTTACTGCATCTACTACTTTATTTTCACCACACCATGGGTTGACTGATAAAAAATGCCAACTGCCATGAAGCCACCCTTTGTTACCTTAATGTAAATAATATATAGTTTATGATTATCATTAAGTCATAAAATATGAATATTGGACTTTATTTTTATTTATTTCTTTTCAGGTTACGTGGTGTAGAAAATGAAATTAAAGAAGAGATGTTTTTTAATTTTTGTAAAAGAATGGCCAGGTGTACCCCAGATGAAAAATAAATAGCATTGCTTCTAATAAAAAATAACTTGAAAAGTAAAATATTAAGCACTTAAATGATTCCTGTGGTTTAATTTGCTTTATTTAATGAATTATAAATATTGCTCTGTTTCTCGTCAAATTGTACTTATGTATGTAAAATGTTATGCACAATTTTCTAATTTGTTTATATAACTTAATGTGCCTTTAATTTAATCCTAAGATTACGTTTGTATGTATATGATGTTGGTGTGCTTCAATAAAAAATAAATAAGTTAGATGTATTATAATTGTTTCATTAAGTATTATTATTCCTGTATAATGCACTTATGTCGATATCGATAAAATAAAAACACCACTAAATATCGATATCGATAATTTGAAGGATGTGTGCTTGCAATCCCTAAGCTATACTAAATTGTATAGTCATTACTCATCTGTCAAATTGGGCGACTGCAGCGCCAAAACGCGTAGTTGGGAAACTTGACTAAAAGTCACTGTCGTATCTGTAGCTTGCTACATATTTATTTATCTATGACAATTTCCATCAACTACTGCACAGAGTATCTTTTAACTACTGTATCACGGAGTAGGGATGTTCGATGATCAACGATGTTCTATAATCATCGATGTTAAAAATTAAAACATCGATATGTTAACATCGATGCCGCCACATGTCAAACATCGAAACATCGATGTTGCCACATGTCAAACATCGATGTCAATGAACCCATAACCGATTAATAGGAACATGTGAAAAACACGAACCCTCGACATCTATATCAACTAAATCGTGCATCTTCTATTAAAGCTTTAAAATTTGTAATAATTCATCATGCATCGATCACCTAAAAAAATATCACTATGTTGTCAAACTTCACTGTCAAGTGTGAATTGTAATGTCACAGTTGTAACTGCTTTGTTTTGTTATTCTGCAGTAACGTTGTCAGTTGTCGCCTAACAACGATTCTACGTAAATTGATATTCAAATGAATTGCTTTTCCTTTGCTGTCTATACCCACATAATTTTGAAACAATACAATGACACAAATGACAACATAACCAAAGACAATGTCACTGCATAGTACATTCGACAAAGCATTTTATAAACGGGTGTGGAAGGTAACGGAAAAGTCCATTATTTAGTTTTTGCGTGGTAAAATTTTTTCTCTAAAACCATATTTTTTCTTTCGCGATAAAAGTAGTTCATATAAAAAGTCCAAATCATAAATTAAGTCCCATAGTAATTTTTTTGATATCAGATTTGTGAATGTGTAGAACATTTAAAAATCAAAATAGTAACATTCATCATGATTGGCAAGAAATATTAAGACTAAATATTATAACAAATGAACTAGATATTTGTAAACATCTTCTCATTTTTTAAATTTCTGACACTAAACCATAAACCACATGACTATTTTTTTATTTCTCACCTATTAAATAAGTACACGCGCAAAAAACATCGATAACGGCCAACATCGATGTTATGAGCAAGATAAAGATTGAACATCGATGTTAAGCTATCGATACCAAACATCGATGTCATCATCGATGTTTCTTCAACATCGAGCATCCCTATCACAGAGTACCTTTGGTATAATATATCATTATTTAATATTTATTACTCTATTCTATGATTAGGGATCCGCGAAAGTATCGAGTACCTGAGTAGTATCGATACTTTTAGTTCGATACCTAGTACTTTTGTACTCGATACTTTTATTAGAGTGTTTTACGAAGTATCGATACTTTCTTAATTACTCGATACTTTTGTCACTTCATTAAATTGTCAGATAAAAGTCTGTAGATAGTACTTTCTTTTCCGATATATAGTGTCGTCCCTCTCGATGGAGTGAGGATTTTGAAGGAAAAGCCTATTATAGTTGGAATGATGCATGTGGGACCAGGTAAATACATTTAGTAGCAATATGCCGTCATTTTGATGAATGAGTAATATAAATAATGGAATCATAATGCAAAATCTTTGGATTTAAATGTGTTTCATTTGTCCATTTATGTTGTTTAAGTAAAGTCTACCTATCAGACATACATAATTAGAGTAGAAGACTATTTTCGTGAAGAAATGTACAATATTTTCTATTATTTAATGGTAATATTGATTAATTGGTGTTAAATTTACCGTCGAAACGAAAAAGTATGAAAAAGTGAATTTTATTGCTTACGGACTTAGGTGCTCTGCTTGATTTGTTACGTCAGAATGCCACCTCCTGGCAGAGGACAAAGTTATGTATGAAAATATTTTAGGAAAGTTGATCAAAATTCAGCCAAATGAAAATTTTGTTTTAAAGTTATGAAGTTTAGCGGTAATACTTCTAACATAAAAAAAAATATTTAAATATACATACTCAGAGGTTTGTAAAATTAAATAACTAATAAGATTATTATTGAATGGATATGTTCTTACGAAAATAAATACTCTATGGAAAAAGCCAGATAGATTCAAATAAAATACGATATTTGATTGGAAGTAATGATAAACTCTTGTGTTTTTGAAGCAGCAATTCCGGATACTTACAGATTGAAAAAGTTGGTTGGCCCTGCAGGCCATCTCTGGAACTTCTCGCTAATTTCAAACGTAAAGCGCTCCAAATTTCACCAAATTATGACGTTGAATATGAAATATCGGATTACTTTAAAAAATATTTTTTTTTTCAAAATTTATCGTTAAATCGAGATATCTCACGAATGAATTAACCGATTTTGACTGGATCAGCGATTGACGTGTTTTTTTTTAAGGATAAAAGCTGATAAGTTTTTTGAAATCGATCGGTAAAACCGTTTAAAAGTTATTCCAATAAAACAGTTTTTCAAAATATTCATTGGGAGATTACAGTGATCATGGAGGATATTTCACAGATGTGTAGTACGGAAGATAGGAATGACATGTTCTTAGGGAGACCCTCAAAAAAGCGAAAGGCAAATAGATATAATGAATGTACAGAGGATAATGTACTTACGAGAATTACGGAGGATAAATTGAAGTATGTTTGATATGTACAGATAAACTTCCGAAACAATTTGGATTGGCAAAAATGTTAAAAGCAGAAAGTATTATAAACGTTACGAAAATTAAGTACATAAATGCATTTAAGGTATTGATTCATTTTAATAGCGTAGAAAGTGCTGAATCTTTTGTACAGTGCAAAAGATTTAACGAGAATGGTTTTTAATGCCAAAAAACTTTAGAAATTAGTTAATCATATGGGGTCATAAAAGATATTGATCTAGAATTAAGCGAAGAAGAGATATTACTAGGACTTAAAAGTGAAACTTTAATTTTAGCAGTAAAAAGACTAAAGCGAAAGAACACTTATGACGGTCATTTGGAACATAGCGAGTCTGTAAGAATATGTTTTAAGGGATCGTCATTACCGTCGTATGCTTATATCCATGACACTAGGGTAAAAGTGAGTCCTTACACCTACCCTGTGACGCAATGCTCCCGTTGTTAGCGATTTGGTCATTCGATTAGAATGTGCCCTTCTCTAAAAGTAATTTGTCCTAAATGTACAAAAAGTCATCCTAACTGTGAAACGACAACTTTCAAATGTAATAACTGTATAGGAAAACACATGGCAATGGCTAAAATTTGCACTGTTTTCTTGAAAGAGAAACGAATTAGAGATCTCATGGCAGAATTTAACTGTTCCTACAAAAAAGCCCTTATGCTTTATGTCCCGCCGTCACCTCCATCACCGAATACGAAAAATGACTCACCTCTACTTACACAACCTACATCTGAAAATGAATCATCACAACAAGATAAACAGATTCCCGGGCCTAATGATGTGTATACACCTAGGCCCGGGGCATAAAAACCCCGGAAGAAACAGAAAAATCTACGTAAGAAACGACGGAATAAAAGAAGAGCCCTCAAAGAACAGGAACAAAATATACCTGACTTTTTTTACCGAAGTTAGTGAAGAAGAATGGACGACAAGCTAAGTGATGAGAATCGATTGAAAAATAAAGAACTATTGTCTTGGAAATTATTTTCTTAAAATTAAAAGAGAAGATATTTGAAGAGGAAAATAGTTCGTGGGAAGACAAGATAAAAGGCTGTGGAAATATAATATTGGAGACTTTAATATCATTAGTGTTGCAGTTTATTGCAGATCAGCCTCGTTGCAATTTCATAAAACAATTATGGATAACAACAACTCACAAACCTACGTAAATGTGCTACAATGGAATGCGCAAAGTATTCAACCTAAATGTACAGATTTAGAAGTTCTATTAACTCAAGAAAAAATACACATTGCTATTATTTTTGGTTTACTTGTATTGTGGTTTACTTGGTTAGACCCGGGTAGTCACTTTCACATTAGCCACTATAACGTCTTTAGAAGGGATCGTGCTAACGGATTTGGAGGCGTAGCTGTATTGACTCACAGGTCAATTAAGGCACAAAAAAATAATGTTGAACTGCTAAATTCACAAATTGAGATCCTCCATATTAGAATTTTAAATTGTAATGTTGTATAGAAAATGTATACTCCTTATACTGCCCACCATTCGCTCGTACCACCTTGAGAGACTGAGACCAAGTCTTCAATCTTGCCAGACGAAAGACAATAATTGCAGGAGATCTTAAGGGCAACCACACCAACTGGTCAACTAGAATGGACTCAAGAGGTGATCAAATTTTGGATTCCATTTTAGACGACAATTTTGTTTCACTGAATGACGGCTCACATACTAGAATTAAACTGGTTAACGGCATAGTACAAAAATCTACCCCTGACCTATCTCTTCTCTCCTGAGCTTCTCTGTATATAGCTTTGAAGTTCGACTGGATAGTACTAAATGAAAATTTGGGAAGAGACCATTTAATGATTAAGATAAAAACTAATATTGGCACATCCAATATCTATAAAAGAAAACGCAATTTTAAAAAGGCTGGCTGGTTGCAGTATAAGACACATATAGAGAGAAAGCTTGAAGGCTTTATATTACCGGATGATCACCAGGCTGCGTACGACGCTTTCATCGATATTATTAACGAGGCAGCTGATAAGTGTATCCCGTTTATAAAAATATGTGAAAATCCTCTTCACCAACAAAGGTTCACTCCTAGACCATATTGGAATCCGGTTATTTCAAAAGCTGTAGCGGAACGACGTCAGGCACTTGCTGTTTTTAGGAGAAACCCTACACCAGTAAATTTAGAAGCATTACAAAACAAGGTCAGGTTGGCACAAAAAATTATTCGTAGTAGTAAAAATAGGTCATGGCAAGGTTTCTGTGACAGTATTGGCAATGTGTCAACTTCAAGTGAAATGTGGGCTAAAATGAAGTGGCTGAAGGGGTGCAGGACAGCGAGAAGTAATATTACCCGCGAGTCAGCTGATTCCTTACTGTGTAGTTTAGCACTTGATTATGCAGATCCACCGGCTCCTGTGTTTAATAGCGATAACGTACTTCTATCTTTACCTGTTACGGTTCATGAACTCGCAAACACAATTAAACAGTCCGATACTGCACCTGGCGCAGACGACATTTCATACTCTATGATCAAGAACCTTCCAAACGCTGCTAAAATTGTTATCGTATCTTTATACAACAGATTTTTGCTTTCAAGCTTTGTACCAAGACAATGGAGATATGTAAAAATAATGCCTATACCGAAACCGAAAATTAGCAATATCTCAAATTCAGGTATTAGACCTATAGCCCTTCTCTCTTGTCCATGCAAGATTTTTCATACAATTACTACGCGCGGATTGGAATGGTACCTTGAAAAAAATAATTGTTTACCAGATGAAACAGTAGGCTTTAGAAGATCGCGATCTTGCCTAGACAATTTGACTAGGTTAGTGTCACGAATACAGAGTGGTTTTGGTAACGGAGACGCTACTGTAGGGTGTTTTGTTAATATCGACGGCGAATACAACAATGTCAATATTATAAGTCTTTTAGGTGCGCTATATAATTTAGGAGTAAGCACCGTAATATGTAATTACCTCTACCAGTATTTGCACTCACGAAGGTTATTTATCGAACTAAGCAATGAAGAGTGTGTAAGCAGATATACAGTAACCGGTATAGCACAAGGTGACCCCTTATCGCCATTATTATTTAACGCAGCAACTATCAATATCTGTAAAAATCTGAATCAAGTATTTATATCTCAATACGCTGATGATTTTGTACTTTATACTTGCCGTAAAAATATAATGGATGCAGTTTCTGTTACTCAAGATGCTCTAATTGCTTTAAACTCTATGATAACAGATGATTTAAACATTTCTCACAGAAAAACCAAAGTTTGTGTATTTACAAGAGGACACTCGAGAAACTCAAACAGTAGTAATATTACTTTAAACATCAACAACGAACGTATTAAAAGAGTCGATAGTGTTAAATATTTAGGCGTGTGGCTGGACAGAAATTTAAAATGGCGTAGACACATAAATGAAACGAGGGAAAAGCTACTTAAGTTTCTAAACATCTTTAAAGTGTTAGCAGGCTCCAAATGGGGTGTTCACCCAATGCATTTAAGTTTATATTTCATTAATTAGAAGCAGACTAGACTACAGTTGTTTCTTATATGATAGTAGTGTAAAAACACATTTATACAAACTAGATAAAGTACAGAATCAAGCGATGAGAGTGATAGGCGGATTCATAAGAAGCACCCCTATCCATGTCATGGAAAGTGAACTGTGTCTACAGCCACTGTTAATTCGTAGAAGATATCTTGCGGCAAAATTTTGGTTTAAGTATGGTCATCATCATCACAGCCCTTCACAAGTCCACTGCTGAACATAGGCCTCCCCCAAGTAATGCCACAAAGTACGGTCCTGAGCCACCTGCATCCATCGACTTCCTGCATATCTTACCAGGTCGTCACTCCATCTAGTGGGGGTCGCCCTACACTACGCCTACCGGTACGAGGCTGCCACTCGAGAACCTTTCTTCCCCATCGGTTATCGGTTCTTCGAGCTATATGGCCGGCCCATTGCCACTTCAGCTTACTAATTCGTTGGGCTATGTCGGTCACTCTGGTTTTACTGCGGATATCCTCATTTCTGAGTCTATCACGCAGAGAAACTCCGAGCATAGCCCTCTCCATAGCTCGCTGAGCGACCTTGAGCGTCCTCATACGGCCAGCAGTGAAGGACCACGTCTCAGATCCGTAAGTCATCACTGGCAACACGCACTGGTTGTACACTTTAGTTTTCAGAGATTGAGGTATACCTGACGAGAAGATGTGTCGTAATTTCCCGAACGCTGCCCAGCCGAGTTGAATCCGTCGATTGACCTCTCGGTTGAAGTTGGACTTACCTAGTCGGACTATTTGTCCCAGGTAAACGTACTCGTCAACAACTTCGAGCATAGTGCTCCCAACAACTACCGGCATAGGTGTGACATGGACAACATGATCTTTGTTTTGTCCATGTTCATCTTAAGACCTATCCGTTGGGAGGCACTATTGAGGTCATTAAGCATAGTGTTTAAGTCCTCCAGCGATTCTGCCATAAGGACTATATCGTCGGCAAATCGAAGGTGAGTGATGTACTCGCCATTGATACCGTAATCTTTTAATACCGTATCCTTTCCAGTCCAGTAGCTTGAAAACGTCTTCCAAAGCAGCGGTGAAGAGGTTCGGGGATATAACGTCACCCTGTCTTACACCTCTCTGCAGTTGGATAGGTTTCGAGCTCTGGTTCTGTACTCGGATAGCCATCGTAGCCCTACTGTACAAATACTTCAGTACTTCGATATACCGACAGTCAACTTGGCACTGCTGAAGGGACTGCAGCACCGCCCAAATTTCGACGGAATCAAAGGCTTTCTCATAGTCCACATACGCCAGGCAAAGTGGCAAATTGTACTCTTCAGTCTTCTGTACAATCTGCCGCAGGGTATGTATGTGGTCTATGGTACTGAAGCCTTTTCGGAAACCTGCTTGTTCGGGAGGCTGGAAGTCGTCAAGTCTGCGTGCGAGACGATTCGTAATGACTCTCGAAAACAGCACGTAGACGCGGTTCATAAGGGAAATCGGTCTGTAGTTCTTCAAGAGAGCGTTGTCGCCTTTCTTAAAGAACAAGACCACCGCACTTCTGCTCCACGCCTCTGGAGTAGTGCCACCATGGAGGACGGAATTGAAGAGCTTCTGAAGGACTTCAAGTACCGGTGTTCCACCCGCTTTCAGAAGCTCCGCTGTAATTCCATCCTTGCCTGGGGCCCTGCCGTTTTTAAGGTGCTGGAGAGCCATTCTAATCTCGCTTAGACTGACGTCCGGGATATCATCGGAATAGTGTCGGATAAGACTTGCTCTTGGATCGTTACTCACACTTGCGTGTGGCTCCAACGATGATGTGTACAGCTGCCCATAGAACCTCTCAATCTCACTCAAAATCTCAGGTGTCCCGGAAACGATGCTGCCACACTCAGTCTTCAGCCTTGACAGTTGGCTCTTACGGGCAGACAGATCTCTGGCAAAGACTTTGGAGCCCTGGTTCCGCTCGATCGCTTCTTTAATACGAGCAGTATTAAAGTTGCGTAAGTCGCGCCGCATGCATTTGGAGATCTGTCTGTTCAGTTGCCTGTATGCTGTCAAATCTGTTGACGATTGCAGCCTCATCTCCCGTCTAACAGCCATGAGATTAAGAGTGTGATCGGAGAGTTTTTGTGTTCTTCTGCGGCGGGTCTTGCAGAACTTAGCTCCGACCGCATGGACAGTTTCCACGAGCTTGTCATTCACATCGTCCACTGCATTGCAATCTTGTAGGCACTGAAAGCGGTTGTGTAACTCGAGCTGAAAGTTTTCGGGATTTTGAATTAGAGCACGAGGGGGACGGAGCGTTGA